TCTCTCTCTCTCCTCCTCTCTCTCTCTCTCTCTCTCTCTCTCTCTTTGTAATAAGTGCATTTGTTTCTTTTAATTTTTTAATTGAATATTTTTTTTTTTGCACTCATAGATAAATTATTGTTAGAAGAAAAATTGTTAATAATTACTAATAAATTTTTCTAAATGTTTGGTAAGGTGTGAAGGAAAACACATGCCTGCAACTCATTTGTCAATAAAATTTTCAGATTGCTCAACTGATTCACAATATCTTGGAAGTAATTCATATGCTCGATTATACGACTTTCATCTTTATATCTCAAGTGAATAAGTTTTTTAATTAAAAGAATTTTGTTTGGAAAGGTTTTCTCTCATAAAGGTTTGTCAACTTCATCCACAAAGAATCTACATTTGTTTCATGAGATACATGATGGAATACACTATTATCTATCTTGATGAAACCAATGATTTTTCTATTTATTCATTTTCACTTTGTCTTTTGTGGGATCTAATTTAGATTATCCAATCATCGATGCTTTCTTCTCCACAGATGAAAACCTCTCTTTCTTCCCCATATATGATGGTCCCTTTTTCTCTTCTCTTCCAAAACTCATGTTAGGATTAGAGTTATATTTTCCTTTTAACACCAATTAATACATGGATAGAAACACACAAGAGTAAAAACTAGAAGCATAAATTTTAAATATATATATTTAAAAATATAATTTATACAAGGTTCTCGTCTAATGATTGACTGAAGCAGGACGAAAAAAAAAAAAAAGACATGTTTATTTATTTATTTTCAAATATTTCCAATCCAATAGCTGAATAGAACTCAGTAATTGTATTTATGGTGGATCAGAACATGAAAAGCTAATTATAAATGATGGAGAACCAAAAGTGGCCCAATCTTAAGTATCCAGCAACTTCTTGCCGCTAGCTGGTGAGTGAAGCTGACTTCACTGTGAGTGTGAAGCACTCTACAGCATTGCACCATCCACTAGCAGCTGACTGTCTTCAGCTAGAATTGAGAGGAGAAACCCCATCACTCTTAAAAGCCTTTGATCTGAATTAAAGGCATCACAAGCTGTTCTACTTGTCAAGTTATGGGCGTGATGAAGTGGATGGATTTAGAAAGCTGTGGCACTGAACTCTCACATGCCTTTGTTTCACTGTCAAATAAGAGAGAGATGGGAAAAGGAGCGTCTTTGAGCTAAAAGGCTTCATAATGGTCCAATGCCCTAATGGCCTACAAGTTGTGTGGACCAATATGATGCAATGTGGTCACTCAATGGAAGGATCCATTGAGCATGTTTTACCATTATTTCAAACAATAAAGAAATGATACATGTGATTCAAGTATGCGTTAGCACTCTCAATCAACAAGCACAACTCCAAAATGTGTATTTTGAGGGTGATGATGGATTTCAGGAAATGTACATTTTGTGTTGGACTTCACACAGTCAAAGCATGCAGACAAATACTTGTTTAACTACTGAGGCTACTGTCATCACACTCATAGGAAAAGTGAGGCAGTTGAAGACTCATTTTCTATAGCATTTAGTGAGGAGTTGAGTAGTCATCGTGCAAAGGACGACAAATACTAGTGGGAGGACGAACCTAATCCACACGGCCTCTTTCTTGGTGGTGGACAAACCAACCAAGCTAACTATTTACGAAGAGAGAGAGAGAGAGAGAGGAACTCACTTCGCTTTGCGTGAAAGGCAGTGGCACCTGATCTCCTCACACATGCCGAAACATGCAATCCTCTTCAAGAATTCACACATTAAAGATTCATAGACATCGAAGAATTCAATGAATTATGGACACCTTTTAAATCATGAACATACGAGTAGTTCACATCATTTCAATGCATGGAAGAAGGAAGAGTAGGAGTGACGAAAAGAATGGGTAGCGTTTCTTCCACTAGTTGCTTTTCAGTAATGGCAGTCCACCAAAGCCGACGGTGCCGCGAGGACGAAGGTGAAAGCTGGTGACGTTGGCCTTCGAAGCTCGTCTTGCTCGTCGTCGGCTGGTGCCGGAAGGTTGAGATCTAATGACAGGAAGGCCCTCTCCTTATTGGCTGCTCCTTGGATGGTCGAAGTAGTCAGAGGTCTGTGCCGCCTCATGTGGCCGCCGAGTGCCTGACCGGAGTTGAACTCCAATCCACATATCGAGCACTCATGGATCTTTGGCTTGATGCTGGGGAAAGAATTCATGCTTATTTGAAGCGAATCCTCGTCACCCATGGCTTTCTTGTTCTCCGCCATGGTCGCGGTCGCCATGGCCAACTTGGGCTTTTTATGGCTGGCGCGGTGCCCTCCGAGCGCCTGGAACGACGGGAAGCTTTTGCTGCATGTCCTGCACTCGTAAAGATTGCGGCCGGCGCCACCGTCTTCACCCCCCAGGCCTTCTGCCTTAAGTCCGGCATCGGAGGCACGTCCCCGAGCTAGAAGGATAAGGCAATTGGCCATGTCCTCATCCTCCTCGGTGACGCAGCCTGAGACCTCCACAGACGAGGCATCCGACGATGAGTCGATCGCCACGGCTGATGAGACTGGCGGCACATGTATCCTCCGTCTCTTCGTGCGCTTGCCCTTCACGATGACTACGGCGGGGATGAACCCGCTGTTGCAGATGCTGCCACTGGTGTTGGAACCCATGGTTTCCTCTGAATCCTCCAGCTTCATTAAATTCTCAGGACTGGAAAACAGAGGAAGAGGAGATAACGAGAGAGAGAGAGAGAGAGAGAGAGAGAGAGCGCAAGGGGAGGAAATGGTTGCCGATATAGAGAATAAGGTAGGAAC